AAAGCTTTTCCAATACAATTTTCCTGTCACTCTATTTTCCAGCCCATTGTTTTCTTCACCCCACCTTCATTATTCACCAAAGTTAAAAAAAAAAAAAACAAAGACAACCAGTCATATTTCTATAAAATAGTCTGCTCTGAAGAACGTTCCATCATAAACATAAAACAGTGACAGGGACACCATTGCTGAATTTAAGAGTAAATACTACATGAAGCTAAATTCAGAATGCGGAAACTAATTTCACAAGAGTGCACTTTACCTTGGTTTCAAAATCTAAGACTTCATCATCTGACGGAGGCCATGAGTCAGCACCAGGTTTGTTGGAAAACCTTTAGAGCATAAACATACAACAAAAATGAGTTAGTTCATTTCTTTAAATGAAGAAGAAAAAAGCAAGTGAAAGTTTGGCTATCTATGCAGTAAACGAAGTTTCTTGACATCATTAAAATTTGGCCTCTGTTTTCAAACTTTTTTTTTAAAGATATTTTGATGTGGACCATTTTTAAAGTCTTTATTGAATTTGTTGCCATGTTGCTTCTGTCTTATGTTTTGGCTCTTTGACCCCAAGGCATGTGGGATCTCAGCTCCTCTGACTGGAGATTGAACCCACACCACCTGCATTGGAAGGAGAAGTCTTATTAACCATCTTAACCACTGCACCACCAGAGAAGTCTCCAAAAAAGATGTTAGTTACCTATTTCTGCTTCCATCTCTCCCAACCTATGACATATCGAGGTAAGACTCATTCTTAGTTTCCATTAACAAAGACTGACAGCCAATATATTGGCAGAGCCTGAGAATAATATGTTTTCACCAAGTCCTAATAGCTGAACTGAAAATCCTACTGACGGACTGACGTAACTTTTGTTTGTCCAAAGTGGAATAAACCTGATGACGTAAAGCAGCAGGACATGCTGTTCCTTCGCCATTGTCTGTCCCTGGTTCAGAGACTAATCTGTGTCCATCACAACTGGCAGCCTTGGTCCTTCAGCAGGGGAATCACTTATGGAGAAGGCCCCGTTCCTCCCTTTACTGTAAGGGGGATACAGGAGCTCCCCGCAACGTCTAAAACTGAAAATGGACACACGTCAAAGAACTAATTTACATGTTTCACTCATATGCTACACGGGTACTTCTCAATCTCTGCTGAGGGACACGAGAGTGGATGCTGGAGCCAGGCAGGCCAGCTGTCAAGTCACAGGTCAACTCATTTTAAGCATGGAATCATGGGTCAACTCATCAACCTCCCGAACCACAGTTGCCTAGGTCAGTAAAAGCAGGACACAGTTACTTTACAAAGCTGCTCTGATGACTCGATGAGGTCACAGATGTTACGCACATGATGCAGTCTCTAACCCAGAGTAGAACGCTCAACAAACAGGAGCTTCTCTTCTTTGTGTGTTCTCCTAGTAACACATACAAGTTTTAAAAATCCGTCAAATCCTACCTGCTTAAAGAGTCTTCTTCAGAACTCGTATCCACTATTAAAGAAAAAAGGAAGATACATTTTAAATCAACAAAAGAAAAATGCAGACTATTAAAACCTCAAAACGGATGTTTCATTTAAAAGTATTCCTTTGGGACCACACCTGGAGACCACACTAGAGGGAATAGTGATTGTACTATACTCATGGGCCATTAATGCCTAAGAACCACTCCTCTCCTTTATGGTCATCAAAGGCAGAACAGAAAAAAAGAAGAAAGAACTGCTGATACAATGACCATAGTCCTAACCAAACTCTAGGAGACTGACAGAAAATGATACTACACCATGAATAGAATCAGTACTATAAACTGACAATAGCACTCTTGAACAGCACAGTACTTCTGGACTTCCATTCCCTGGAGCAGTGAACAGAGCCTACAGGTGTCTTGCTGGGACATAACACAAATTCTCTGGCTCTTCAGTTCAGGATGAAAATGCCCTATCACAAGGAAGCGTGGTCTACAGGCGCTGAACTTCAGAGCGTGGTAAAACATAGGAAACAAAGTCTTCCTGGCCCTCTTTCCAAATGCAAGAGAAGTATGAAAGATGTAGTGATTCCAGGTTTAGAAAGGATAATCTCTTGAAAGGGAGGTGGGGGAGGGTAAATGGGTAAAGGGGGTCAACTGGGTGGTGAGGATGGGGGCTAGACTTGCGGTGGTGAGCATGCTGCAGGGTACACGGAGGCTGAGCATTTTTAATGTTTTAGATATACATGTGTACGTACTAATAAATGTGAAAAGTATAATCTCTTGAGACTATCACCTTCCATTGCTCAAGAGTATCTGGACCACCTAGAGCAGGATGGTCCAAACAGTGCTGTGTTCTACTGAGGGATATCATTTCATCAATCCTCCCCATTATATGGCAAAGGCTGATAGAAATGATGCTTTTTCAGCTTGGAAGGCGTTCGTCATCAGACCCTAAGCTGATGAATAAGGGGAGGGAGGGAAGCAGAGAGGAAGCTATGGACGCTGGTGCTGTTGGACGACGTCTCACGTGCGTCGTCACGACCTGACGCTGGAGGGAGGACTCCCGTGCAGTGACTCCACGGGGAGAGGAGCACTGCAAGCTCAGGCCTGGAGGGCAGGGGCAGGGACTTTCAACTGTGTGCACCCTGTGACATCAGAACAACGCTTAGCACATAAAAGACACTGGAAAGTTATCTCCTTGGTGAACAATGAACACATACATAAGAATGTTTTCTTTGAAAACTCTGTTTCGAAAACTATAGAAATTAACCAGGGACAACTCTATTCTATTCTGAGCACACTGAACACCAAGACTCTCTGTCATCTCTGTATCTCCTCTAACGTGTAAAACCAACCTACGCAAGTTCCTTGGTGGATGTTGTTGCTGTTCAGTCACTGAGTCGTGTCCGCCTCTCTGTGACCCGATGGACTGTAGCTCACCAGGCTCTTCTGTCCCTGGGATTCCCCAGGCAAGAACACTGGAGTGGGTTGCCATTTCCTTCTCCAGGAGCTCTTCCTGATCCAGGGCTGGAACCCGTATCTCTGGCATTGGTAGGCGGATTCGTTCCTGCTGAGCCACCTGGGAAGCCCCCTTTGATTAGACAGAGGTGAACGAGGTTTAAAGGTGTTCTCAGACAGCTTGTACAATGTGCTAGATGCCACATCGAGGGGACATAGTGGTGTTTTTGCTCATGGGAAGTGTGCTGGTTCTTTTATTAGAATCTGCAGAGTTCCAAGTTGATCTATTTGAAAATCTATTACGATCATCTTTTAAATAATGGCAACAGAACATGTTGTTCTTACAAAACTATACTAACATGACAATTATCCAACACACAGAAGAAAACATCTGGTTCTAATGAAGTCAACCTATCTCACTCTTTTTGGATCTGTAAGGAATAAAATTCGTAACAGAGACCTTGTTGATACAATAGGCAAAATAACCGGTGCTTCTCAACTAGGCATCGCTTTTCTGATCTGTACTATTGGAAGGCATCTTCCGAAAGTAATCTCTTCCTGGTATGCTGCACACTGGTCCAGCACTGCAGTTCTTAGAGTTTATCACTTCTTATCCTACCAGGAAGGGACTGTTGCGGTTCCCAGTTTAAACCATGGTAACTTTTATAATGAGACCAATCACTACACAGTAACTGATAACTATTCATTCACTAAATGCAAACTATTTGTAAAAATTAAAGCTCCACTTTTATAAGAAGTCAATTTGCTATAATAGGATTAAAGATGAAATATATATCATACTAACTTAAACATTTTTTGTAATGTACATAAAAATCTAACACAGGATTTTAGGGGCTGTAATTAAATACATGGAATTCTTTTCAGACAATACTGTCTCTGATGTTAAATTACCTACAATTAACTTCTTTCACAATTCTGAAGACTAGACTATTAAGAAATTCATTTAAAAACACATGAAATTTACACTAATTTTATCATAGTTCTTTCATTATTGAAATTTCCTCACTACTACTTTATCTATGGTAGAATCACCACGAGTAATTCATTATTATCAGATGACGTACCTGGGTTGCTCTTTTCGGGAGGAGTTTTAGGCCTCTTTTCTTTATATTCAGAGATCAGTTGGCAAATGCTATGTGTTAAAAATGTGATAAATAATATTTTAACACTAATATGAAAAACAACTGCCAAATATGTTAAATTCTTAGATCATTTCAGACAATGTCAGCGATAATATCAAAACTACAATTGTCCCATACATTTCAAGTTTCTAAGTTCTACCAAGCTTTATTTAGCATGCATTTAAAGGAGAAAGGAAAGGAAGATGAAGTAGTCATGAACTGAGGGCAATACAGCTCAGCAGATTAACTAGATTTAGCTGGGCATACGAAAACTCTTTCCAGCTGGCAAATCCTAGCTCTGTAACCAACTGCTCTTTGTTCCGAGAGAACTGCTTCTCTTGAGTTCAAAGTCATCCTCTACACAACTGGGATCTTACTGCCTTATTTCACAAGGGGATTAAGAGGAGTTAATGAGATCATATATCCCCCAAATGCTTGCAGAAACAGTCAAAGAATGGAATAATTTGCTCTTGAACTTTATTGTTGGAACTACTTTGGAATTCCAAATAAAGCCAATGTGTGTTTTCTTATAGGTTTAGCATTCAATGGTTGCAGGAAACTGTTATTAATTATGGTGATTAGTTGTTCTTTGTGGTTTGTAATTTAGGGAATCTCAGCTCTTATATAATTTGTACCTAAATTTATTTATAAAATACGAACTCACTACATTAGGTAACATAATTTTCCCCCATTATTGCAGCTAATCACACCAAGCACAGAAATCTAATCACAGTCAAGACCTGGCCTGCACCCCTACACTCCCTTCTCTACCTGCTCAAATTCTCAACCAGCAGATCTTTCTGACAATGATGCTTAATCTTCATGTTCATCTCTGATTCACTTGGAAGACTTAACCCTACTCTTACAGTGGATACTGGCAAGTCCTAGGCAGGGCTTACCCCTCGAAATTCCTCTCTGAACTAACTTACTTGAGATTTAAGGAGTTCTGGTGAATGGGTTCCTTGTGAGACAGACTCAGAAAACATTTACGGTTGAGGCAGATAAATCCTTTGGAAGATTTTCATTATTGCAGGAAACAGATCCCACGAGGGGCCAACCCTCCATGTAACTATGGAATCTCAGGCAAGCTGACACCCACTACTCTGGGAAGGATGACAGGGAATCTATGACCTAAGGAAAGGTGCCCCCACAGGATAGAAGGTGCCTGCACCAAACAGAAAACTCTCACCGGTCATGTAACAAGTAACAGTTAAAATTCTTTTTGGCGGCAGTTGAGTGATCACTGGCGTTTTAATGTGAACACTTACAAATCAAATCCACGAAGAGAAGCATATTCTTCTGCAGTCCATCCAAAGACATCTCGAGAAAAGACGTCAGCGCCTCGCTGAAGGAGAAGACTGACTACACTCATAGACTCGTAATGGACAGCAAGTGTGAGGGCGGTTCTAAAACAACAGAGAGATGACGTCACCCTCAGGAAGTTGAGTGGACTTACAGAAACAGCTCGTTTGATATGCTTTACCAAGGTAACATCTTGCCCTTCCATGAAGAACTGACCATTTACACGCTCAAGTGTACATCCTTGTAAATGACCTCCAAGGCTAAAATGAAGCGATGGATAAGAAGCCTCCTGTCCCCCTGGGATGGCACGTAGCAGCACTTACTATTTCAAAAGTCCCTGATGGGGACTTCCCTGGTGGACCAGGGGCTATGACTCCAGGCTCCCAAGGCAGGGGGCCCAGATTCCATCCCTGGACAGGGAACTTCATCCCACATGCTGCAACTGAGAGTTCCCACAACTAAGACCCCACGCAGTCAAATAAATAAATGCTTTTCAAAAATAGTAACCAAGTCCTTGATGGACAAGAAACTGTGCAGAGGTCACTTATCTGAGGCAGGTGAGTATTTAAGGAAAGAATCCCCCATTTCCTCCTTAGTCTGATATATTATGCTTCAAAGTCAGCTAGAGGGTGGGTTAAGCAAAGGCTATTTGCTGGCTTCAAACAAAAATATTAACAACAATGAAATAAAAATAGTCACCGTGGCACTTAATGATGTGGACAAGCATGTGCTCTTCACTAAATGAAATACTATGTATACACACAGCCACCTTTGAAGGATGCATTACTATTTGCCCTTTTGTATCAGGGAACTTATTTGCTGATGATAAGTAATGTGCCCAAGGTCATAACCCTAATAGGGAGGAAAGCTAGGAGCTGAACCCAGTCTGAATCTAAAGCCCACCATTTTCGTCTGTATCATCCACCTCTGAATTGTCTTTGTTGAAGCAACTGTTAATCCAATTAAACCTATCATTCTTCCTTCTACCTTCATTTAAAATGAAAACATCAAAATGTACTAGAAATAAAAAGGGATAAAAACTGATGAGCCCACAGTATCTGGTGACAGTGATTACTGATCACTTTTTGTTGTTGTTCAGTCACTAAACTGTTAAGGACTCTTCTGCAATCTAATAACATCAGTATTTTTCAAAGAAAGTAATTGAAAGCAAAGAGTCACCCAAAAGACAAAATCAAGTCCTTTATGTTTAGTATGCATCTTTTAAGGAAAAATATACACGAAGTAGAGGTTAAACAATCATTATAAAAGAATTAAGAAATTCGATACTGTCATAAGGGAAACTAAAAAGCAGAATCCATATTGTATAAAGCTAATGAACTAGTATGAAATCCCTCAGCTACTACAAGATCAACCAGAAGAACAGGTTGCCTATGACATCGCTCGATATTATAAAGGAATATGAATCCTGCTATATATCTCTGCTATATAGTTTTTCACAACTCCCAGTCAGAATAATTGGTTTTCTACCTAACTGATGAAGTGTTGGTCCCAAATGACACCTTTAATTTAATCTTGATCTTGATGTTAGCACCCAAGAACAGCACTAAGGTTTTTAAAAAGAAAAAGAACAACTGTACCTTTTCATCTTATCAACCGCGTGTATATTTGCTTCTTTCTTTACTAAAAATTCCACCATTTGCTGTTGCCTTTCACTTATGGCCAATAATAGTGGTGTCAGGTCATCCTGTAAAACAGGAAAAACCATTTCGAATGTACCCAGTTAACCTATTTCTAAACTGAACTGCAAATCTCTGAACTTAAACATATAATTCAGAAAGCAAAAAAAAGGGAGCCCCTCCTCCTCATCCCCCGGCGCGCCTTCTATCTCTTCAAGATGCTCCTCCTCCTGGCCTTCCCTGGGGGTCCAGGGGCTAAGATTTGCGCTCCCAAGGCAGGGGGTCCAGGTTCCATCCCTGGTCAGGGAACTAGAGTCCAAGTGCCAAAACTAAAGATCCCACCTGCCACAACTAGACCCAGTGCAGCCAAATACGTCTTTTGAAAAAGTAAAGAATAAAATGCTCCTCCTCTACCTCTTCCAAAGATGAACCACAGAGTCATTCTCTAAAACTCACTTTCAACATTTACTGGTTCCAAGGATCTTTGCTTCTATCATAGTATTTATCAGGAATATTGTAGTATTTACTTGCTCTATTACTAGTCTCAGCACTCCTCCAGACAGAATCAATTAGCTACTTGATTTAGTAGCTGCATATTTTAGGAACAATGCTGAGGCAGGAATACATCATATTATCTGTAGCATGCATAACCTATCCAAGGATGACCAAGAGTAACCTCATGAGGTTTACAGACATTCCAATGGGAATGTTATCCTCTACATGAACATGCAAAGAGAAAGGTTGTTTTCTTTTCTTCCAAAAAAACCAACTGTGGGCACCATGTTTTTCGGCTTTCTCAGCAAAGTCTCTTGAAATTTAATCTTACTCATTCTCCTTTGCTTGTTCCTTCCCCCGCCCTTAAGTTAAACTGACAGGTCAGCATCAGCTAGATGCTGTTTCATGCAGAACAACACCGCTTATCTTCAAAGACCTTTCTTGACGGCTCTCATGTGATGACCTCCAGACCTCCAGGAGGAAGCTTCCTGAATCCCAGAGTTCTGCTCTCTGTCTTGCTTTACTGCTCTTACTGAAAGATTACAAGGTAAGTTACCAACAAATACGCACTCAGCATTTTCTCGGGGAGTTGCTCTTTCGTGAACTCTCCCCACGCTCTCTCTCATAATCCTGTGTGTCTGGGGGACTCATTCAGTGTGAAACCGCCACAACCAACTTAAAAATTCTAATTTGAAAAATTCAATCCCATCCTTAAGAGATTCTTTTAAAATATGGAATCAATTATAGATTAATTAGACTGTCTTTAAGACCTTGAAATAGTTATCAAAATAAACTATGAATCAAGAATTGGAAACTCAAATGCTTGTGGACGGAAAGCTGGTGACCTAAGTGAAAAAGCCAGGTGAGGCTGGCAAACCCGCGCACACACGCCCCATACAGAAGGGGAGGCCTCCACATGCAGCCCAAACAGCAGGATGGGCTCAAGGGGGGCCCAGACTTGGTTCTCTGAGAAGCCTGAAGCGCAGACCTCTGCATGAGTTTGCGAAATGTTAAATGCTGACTCAGTTTGTGGAGGTAGGTAAGCTAAACGTATCCAAGGAGCACATTTGGTCTGTGGCCCATTTGTGCTTTTACGTTTTGCTGTTTCCAAACAGGTGGGTATAAAGCAAATATTCGTATGTGAAAGCTTTCCTTTCTTTAGTATCATGTGTTTCACAAGAAAAGTGGGTCTCAATATGTAATAAAAATTGCTATTGACTCATAGTTTTTTTTTTTTTTTTTTGACTCATAGTTTTACTAAAATAAATTTTAAAAACAAGACTCAAAATTCCCACTTGAAGATTGTTTCCACTGCCTGTTACAACTACAATCTCTTTCTAGAATTCTCCCAGATTATTAACCAAATGGATAATGAGTTCCTGAGACTGCTGAAACCAAATGATTAAAACAATCCCCATCTGTACTAACTTCATGGGTTTTGATGTTTAAAGCTGTCATCTCGCTTATGCCAGGGCTCAGCAAATCTAACAGACACACTGCAAGAGTCTGTCCTGCTGACACCAAAAGAAGGCTCATGAATTACTGTTACCGCAGTCAGGAAAACCCTGTTGGTGACAAACATCTGTTGACTTGATGACCTGGTTGATAACAGAAGGTGTAATATTCTTAAAGGGTCAGACTCTACAGACGAAGTGACTTGGCCAGGAGCAAATCTCTAAAGACTCTTGGAGTGTCACTGAATAATTAGTGGTTCGAAGAAAAAGGAGTTATATCATTCAAGCCAATAGATATTGCCAAAAATGTTCCTTTTAACTTCTCAATCACAGAGGCAGAGGAAAAAGTCAGGCTAATACTGTTGCAAAGGAGGGAGCTGATGGAAGTAGCTACCATTGATCAAACTCCAACTCTTCTACGGATTACTTATTTTTGAGATAGGTGCACTAGAAGTTATACTTAATCACTCCATAGTTCTTCACCAAGGATCGTATCAGACTCTCAAGGAAATATTTCTAAATACACACATCCAGGCCTTCCTTGATTTATTCCATCAAAATCTTCAGGGAACAGCCTAAGTTTGTAAATTTTTTTATAAACTTTCCCAACGGATTGCGGTTTTCACCAGCACAATCTAGCTGAGAATTAGCCCGGCAAACATTCCAGTCTCATCTCTAACCCACATGGCCAATCCCGTCTCTTACTTGAGGATTTGAAGAAAAAAGAAAAGTGTAAGAGGCAAGAGTCATCAAAACAGAATTAGATTTTCCTGGGTCAATAATGGTGGAACAGGGACTAATAAACACAAAAGGCAACCTGATCTCGTCGTTCATAAACCCCTTCCTTTCCATCAAGACCTTCCAGATTGAGAGCAGTCTAGACTCTTATCTAACTGGCTGTTTCTGCCAGAATAGGATAATATTTCTGTTAAATATTTGTTCTTCTCTCTTCTTTCCAACTTTATCACCACCTTTTCACTGCTGATCTGATTTCTGCAGAGTCTTCCTAAAATTGATACCTAGGCAAGTCTCCAACTCATTCAATCTCTTTCTCAAAATAACAACTATTATACCTGAAACTGAAAAGCACCTTACCAAAATATATAAACTGAAGGGGGAAAAAAACAAAAACAAAAACCTCAAGACTTCTGTGGTGGTCCAGTGGCTGGGTCTCAGCGCTCACAGTATAGGGGGTCTGGATTCAATCCCTGGTCAGGGAACTAGACCATGCATGCTGAAACTAAGACCTAGCACAGCCAACTACACATTTAAAAAAAAACAAAAAGAAAACCCCTCTTCTTGGCATTTCCCCAACTGCCAAAATTCCAGCCTGATCTGCGTTTTTCAGCTGCTCGCTCCTCTTCCTTTCCCTTTAGCCTCTGAAGCCTTGGGCAATGAGAGAGAAATCATTTTTATATAAATCATTTTTTCATAAAATTGGAATGTGTTAACAACAGCAAGATTTCTATTATGTTGTCAAATGCTTGTTCGAGTTTTAAGACAAAGTCTACTTCCAAGGCAAATTTTGCATTACTGTGTTACTTTAGACTAATTAGAAAAAAAAAATTTTTTTTTCAGTAAGGGAAAAATACTTGGAAAAAGTTTTACCTTTAACAATTGCTGTGTTATCACAAATATCTGCCATAAACACAAAAAAGAACGCTTTGCTCTCTAATGCTTCTTGAGCAATATCGTGATTTAAAGTGACATCTTAGACAATCAAGGGCTTTCAAAATATTTTCACTCAGGGAAGGCTGGAGCTTCCAAACAAGGAAAACTGAGCACAGCTGCGAGAGTGGGGGAGCTGTCTCTACAGCTCCTGGCAGGGCTGCAGCAGCAGGAGAAAGAGCAGGAGGGGCAGCTTCACCATCACCAGCTCCCCACACTCAGCTGCAACCCCACCGAGCAGCCCCCCAGGGCTGGGTGTGGGAGACCCGAGGAGTGCACCTGGCGAACCAAGTGGTCACCAGCACGAGTGAACGCCCTGGCTGGGTGTCAAACGTGACCTGACCCACTTCACCGGATCTCAGAACAGGGGTCCTGGAGGGCTCAGGGCTCCAGGCCTGCTGCCTCCCTGGCCCACTTGCACCCCCCAGCTCCCCCTGCTGGGCACTGGTTCTCCTTTCTCCTACTCCCATCCCTCGCCCAGCAGCTGTGCCCATTCCCTGAGCCCCTGGAAGCAGCCACCCACCACATCACTTCACTCTCCCCAGGCCTTCAGTTTTTGTAGGACTTGAGCCTACCACCCATTCCTGAGCACGTTCTAGTGGGAAAGTCTTCCTTCTGGGGTAGAAGGTGGATGAGAGAGACAGAGTGGCCCTTTCTGTGGGCTCTGACATATTCCACCCAACCTCTGACTTGGCTTTGGAGTCGTTTCCATGGTAACAGGGCCTGCTGGACACTACTCATTCCACCTATTAACATACTGTTATCAATAAAACACTACGAGTTTAGAAAAATGCTTTGCAAATATTTTGTCAATAAAGTTAGTTGAGCTATACCTTGTTCCTGGCTTCTATATTGGCGTCATAGGAAAGCAGCTTTGCCGTGAGTGATATATTCTGGCAAAAGACAGCGTAGTGGAGCGCGGTGTTGCCATCGGCGTCTGTGACATTTGGGTCGGCACCGTGCTCCAGCAGGAGAGTCGCGCACTCCTCCTCTTGGCATTCTACGGCCTGTCAGCGTTGTGCCAAGAAACAAGAGTGTGAGTTCTAGGAATTCAAAGTAAATAGTCCACAAGTTCACCAGTTCCCTCTATTTCAACGAGATCAATTCATTGTTAGTCTCAGTAGTTAAATCCCATTCATCTCATGTGGACATGGTTCGCTGCCCCATACCTTCATCAGCGCGGTCTTGTTTTCACTGTCACAGAGGTTAAGCAGGCATTTTCTCTCCAGGAGGAGAGTTACCACGGCTGAATGGCCTTTGGCACAGGCCAAGTGGAGCGCAGTCCTACGAAAGCAAGACAAGTTCTCAGGAAAATGTAGTGTAACTGTTTCAAAACAAACAACTCTTTGTGTGATTGAGAACACTCAACAGCATAGTACTCGCATCCCTCTAAAACAAATATTTCATTTTCTTCTGGAGAAAGAGCAGGATATATTAGTTGAGCTCCTCTTGTTGCCGCTGCTGCTGCTAAGTCGCGTCAGTCGTGTCCGACTCTGTGCGACCCCACAGACGGCAGCCCACCAGGCTCCCGTCCCTGGGATTCTCCAGGCAAGAACGCTGGAGTGGGTTTAGCTCCTCTTACACAGTAAGGAAACAACAGTCTACTTGAACAGAATGCGCGAGACCTTGAGATTCAGCTCAACTTGGGTTTAAATTTGACTTTGTCACTTATTACCTGTCGCTCACCCTCTCTGTACCTCAAATTTCCTCACCAGCAAAATGGAGAGAGAGGGGTGGTTATCTCACAGGACAGCACTGCGACGCTTAAATGAGATCCATGCACAGGGTTTAGAACTGTTCCCGGCACAGATAACAGCTAGTAATTGTTAGATTATATTATCATACTTACTACTACTACTACTATCTTACAAGGACAACATCTGAATGAAGTCAAAGGACATTACACCTCCTTTGCAGATATGTTTTGAGGATTAGAGACAACATTGTACTTCGCTAATTCTAATATGCTTATTTTCTCATGTCTCTGATATTGGAATATAATTTATAATTCACAGTCTTTACAACTACAATTGTAATAGTAAAGACTACAACTACAATTGTAGCATTTTTGTTGGTTCATTTCTCATTTTTCTCTTGGTCTAATTATCATGAGGGGTTTTCGTTTAAGTTTCTTTAGAGATGACGTATGTTATATATTATTATATAATACAGGTCACAACACAGTGCTCCACAACTGTTAACAGTCACACTGCATTTAAGTGACTATAAAATATTAGCCATATTCCCCATGTTGGACAATACAGCCTTATAGCTTGCAGGATTTTAGTTCCCTCACCAGAGACCGAACCCTGGGCCCAGAGCAGTGAGTCTTAACCACTGGACGGCCAGGAAATTCCCAAGATTCCCTTGACTTCTGAAAAGGCTGAAAGTGAAGACTGAAACCTGAAAGTGACAAGTTACTTTTCTCCGCGCCGCATCCCTGTGAGCTCCAGAGACAAGCCCTGTCTGCTAACCCGACTTCCCTAAGGCCACCCGCTCCACAGAGATGCTTAAATGTGGGGGTTGCGAAATCAACCTGCAGATTTCTGTTTTTCTTCTTTTTGTTTTCTGGTGCCGAAACCCAGGAAACTCCACAATTCTTGCCTTTGAAATCACTCTTACAATGGTCCTTGGGGTGGGATATATGTATATTCGCAACCGATTTATGATGTTGTACAGCAGAAACCAACACAACATTGGAAAGCAATTACCATCGAATTAAAAAAATATTAAGGTTAATAACCAGTAGAACTAGAAAAAAAGAAGGTCTTTGTCACCACGAAAAAAATGCATAAATAGGAATTTCAGTTTTCTTCTGGTACTTTTCTCACCCTGTGTGTTTAAAATTTTTGATCCATACTCCATTCGAAACTTTTTGGTGAGATAAAAAATCTAGTTACTTTTCTCTAAATAGTTACCAGGTTATTTCTACACCATCTACACACAATTTATCTTTTCTGACAGAAAATGTCATCCAGCAAATTTTGATATCTAAAAGGGCAAATCTTTGCCTACTACACAAAACTTTTAATTTCATCACAACAATTAAAGACAGCATGTGTAACCCAAAATCTTTAAAACCACGGTCAGTTTATTTAGTTTAAACATGGAAAGACCATATACCCTAAGAAAATGTCCTCCTATTCAAGGACACAGCCAGCTTCCTACTTCAAAGCTGTCTTCTAAGGTCCTTCAGCAAGGAACATATACACAGAAGTGTACACTGATATAAAACAGATATTGCATTGTATCTGAAGAATTTTTAATCCAGAAGTTGACCTGCCATGGGGATTATTTTCTCACTATGCAGTTTTCTGTAATATGAAACATTATGGTATAAAAATGTGTACATTAAAAATAAGATGCCGACAACATCAAAAATCTGTCCACTGCCAATATCCACAATGGATGATCAATGGGAAGAAGAGTTTTCATAAATCACATGACAAAAACAATGTGAGAGCTAGGGAGTTCCAGAAGATTTCCTAAGGGCTATAGAATTTGAGCGCTCTTACTCAAGAGTAGATCATGTTAACGCATGCATAACAACAAATGAAGAGGAGGAAGAGGAAGAAGAAAAAAAAAGATGCTATTCATGTTTTATTTCAGTTCTGTGATTACTGACATTCAGTTAAATAACTTTAAAACGACCAGTAAAAGAGACTCAGATGTATAGAACAGACTTGTGGACTCTGGGAGAAGGAGAGGGTGGGATGTTTCAAGAGAACAGCATTGAAACATGTATATTATCTAGGGTGAAACAGATCACCAGCCCAGGTTGGGTGCATGAGACAAGTGCTCGGGCCTGGTGCACTGGGAAGACCCAGAGGGATCGGGTGGAGAGGGAGGTGGGAGGGGGGACCGGGATGGGGAATACATGTAAATCCATGGCTAATTCATTTCAATGTATGACAAAAACCACTGCAATTTTGTAAAGTAATTAGCCTCCAACTAATAAAAATAAATGGGAAAAAAAAAGACCTTTTAGAACTAACACCATAAAAGATGTCCTTTTCATTCTAGGGGACTGGAATGCAAAAGTAGGAAGTCAAGAAACACCTGGAGTAACAGGAAAATTTGGCCTTGGTGTACAGAATGAAGCAGGGCAAAGGCTTATAGAGTTTTGCCACAAGAACGCACTGGTCATAGCAAACACCCTCTTCCAACAACACACGAGAAGATGCTACACTTGGACATCACCAGATGGTCAACACTGAAATCAGAGAACAGGCAACAGCCAACCTGAAAGGTGGTGAAACTGGCCCAGGTCTGAATCTGGGTGTGTGTGCGGTGGAGAGAGAGGATTCTTTATCACGGACGTGGATGGCCCCTGGTGCTGTTTTCAGCCTGTGAATGAGGCTGAGGGATGGGAGAATTATTTCTCCAGGATCGAGGCAAGTGCAGCCTGCAGCTCCAAGCAGTGCTTGGGCTGCTGTGTCCACATCTGCTCCTTGGTTACTTTCTGAAGCTGTCAGACCACAAGAAATCTCTCTATAGCAAAGTGGGGTGCTGGCGTTCAAATGCTTAAATAAACCACATCTCTAGGAGGGCAGAACCCAAGGGCCATGTCTGAGCCCTCAGCTTTGAGAAGAGAGATCATAGTAGTATGTGGATAAGGCAAAGCTCGGGATGCTGGAATCCTTTTGGATTATTACTCTGGCTCTGCCCCTAAATGAGCCTCAGATATTTCAACCCATTTACTTTCTCCATTTTTCTATGGATCCATGTATCTATCTCCTGTCTACTGTGATCTCACCCTGCAAATTAGACTGTTTGCCTGGGGAGGAAGAGGGATAGTTCACACCCAGCAAGGCTGTTCCAGCACTGATCTGGCACTAATATCAACCCCCCCAGTGATAAACAAAAACCAAGGGCTGCAGCAGAAAGAGATTTCGGTGGCAGGCAGGTTGCGCGTGTGCAAATCCCAGCTCAAATATCAAGTTTAAACCCTCAGCCTCAGTTGACTCATCCCAGCATCACTTTATGAAGCTGCAGGTGTTGGAGGTTATCAGGTAGAGTGAAGGGGCGTTGTGTTAAGTGTACATGTCGCAGCGGTCACTACTCTTAGTAATTTGTGCATTATCACTGTTTCTGCAGAATCAGGGACGTGCCGTCACTAGGTGGAACGCTAGTCTAGCAAGGGTGGACATTAGGTATTAATCAAGGCAAGGCTGGAGAGTGGGCAGGAGGCCAGGAGGCAGTGGGCCTGGGACAGGTGGGCACCAGGCCCCAGACCCCAGGATGGTGAGTAGAGGAAGGCTAATGATGACGGTTCTCGACTGAAGAGGAGCAGGACTCAGGCCTAAACATTTCTGCCTGGACAAGACAAAGGACCAGTGGACCAGGGCCAAGGCATGTGCTGCTGGGGAGAGGACAGAGGGGAACCCATCTCCTGGTTCCTCCAGCAGAAGCTGAGGAGCTGCTCCCCTCAGGGAAGGTTAAGTAGCCTCACCAAAGCCATCTGACAGTAAGTGATGAAAACTCAATCGTCTTTCCTACTGTATAGGACGGGGCACTCTGCTCAATGGTATGTGGCAACCTTGGAAGGGAAGGCAGTTTGCAATGAACATTGGACTATGTGTATCTTTTTGAATTATAGTTTTCTTCAGATATATGCCCCAGAGTGGGACTTCTGGATCATAGAGTAGTTCTATTATATTTTCAGCTTTTTAAGGAACTTCCATACCTTTCTCCATAGTGGCTGTACCAATTTACACTTACCAATGACGTAGGAGGGTTTCCTTTTCTCTGCACCCTCTCCAGCCTTTATTATTTGTAGACATTTGGATGATGGCCATTCTGACCAGTGTGATGTGATGCCTCATTGCAGTTCTCTTGTGCATTGCTCTGATAATTAGTGACACTGACCATCATTTCATGTCCCTGCTGGCAATCTTTTATGTCTTCCTTGGAGAACTGTCTATTAAGGTCTTCTGCCCATTTTTAATTTTTATTTATTTGTTTTGCCCATTTCTACATCACGTTTTTGGTTTTTTATTTTTATTTTTTTGACATAGAGCTACATGACCTATTTGTATATTTTGGAGATTAATCCCTTGTCAGTTGCCTCCTTTGCAAATATTTTTTCCCTCTCTGTTAGTTTTTTATTTTCTTTATTGTTTCCTTTGGTGTGCAAAAGCTTTTAAGTATAATTAAGTCCCATTTGTTTATTTTTGTTTTTATTTTCGGTACTCAAAGACATGGATCAAAAAGGATATTTCTGCAATTTATGTCAGAGTGCTTTTTTTTGGCTGTGCCATGTAACTTGTGGGATCTTAGTTCCCTGACCAGGGATCGAAATCAG